AGGCATAGATATAAATAGAAATATATATCAATCTAAGGTTATTTAACGAATGAGGGAATAAGGCCGCACGAGAATAAATGCGTGAATAAACAAAGAGATGAATGAGTGAGTAAGTCACGTTGGTCCAAAGTCGTCCTTCACCTCACCCCCCCCCCAAAAAAAAAAAAAAAATAGTCCCATTATATATGTCACTTAAAAGATATATATAAAAATTGAAAAATCAAACATCTAAGGATTTTTATTTTTTTCTAAAGGAGAGAAATCAAATTCAGAATTAATACAAAAGTCCAAAAAGAATGATAGATGAGTAAGGATAAATAGAAATATAAATAGTAAGGATAATGAAGATAAACACATTGATAATGATGATGATAACAACAGTAATAATAATGATAACAATAACACCGATAATAATAACAACAGCGATACTAACAACAACAACACCAAAACAGTCATAACAACAAAACAGAATAAAGATAACAAAAACACCACCAACAACACCACCAACAACACCACCAACAATGACAACAACAACAACAACAACACCAACAACAACAACACCAACAACAACAACAACAACAACAAACAACAACAACACCAAATCAACAAACAACAACACCAACAACAACACAACACCCTCACCAACAACACCACAACAATCAACAATGACAACCCCGCTAAGAAAGACCACGAAACACAACCCACTCCTTGACGAAATTTCCCAAGTCCAGCCGAGTCGAGAAACCAGAGATGCGTCTGTAGCACCTGGGCGTTGCCATGGTAACCGCGGGGACTCCTTACTCCTAAATAGCCTTACTTGGAACGTAAATATAGGCTTGTTTTTTTTTTCTTTTTCTTCTTCTTCTTCGGTCTTTTTATTATTATGTTGTTATTATTGTTGGTGTTATTGTTATTATTGTTATCATTGTTGCTGTTGTCATTATTGTTATCATTATTATGATTATTATTGTCCTTACTATCATTATCACCTTCATCATTATTATATTATCATTCTCATATCATTATTAGAGAGAAGTAAAAAAGTATAGAAGAAAGGAAGAAGAAATATAAAAGGAAAAAAAAAAATTGAAGAAGAATTCTGGGTAAAAAAATGAAAGAAAGCGAAAGCCAATAAAAAAAACGAAGAGAAACGTAAAGAAGAAACCGTAGTAAAGAACGAAAGAAAAAAGTGAAAAAACACAAAGAAAAGCACAATAGAGAAGGAAGAACCAATAAAGAAAGAGCAGTGGATGATAAAATAAGGAGATGATGTGTAGAGACACCTCTGGAGAATGAAAGAAAAGAAAAAATATACAAATGAGAGGAGAGACTATAGAATAACCCATAAAGAATAAAAGGAAGAAGGGGAAAGTGCATAGATAAACGAAGGACAGTACAGAAGGAGCTAAAGTAAAGCTAGAGAAGAGAAAGAGCAAAAGGCAAAAACAAACTGCAAAGAGAGAGCAATAAAAGACGATGTAAATGGAATAAGAAGAAAAATAATACGAAAGGAAGTGTAGAGGAATTGGATAATAACGGACACGTCAAGAAAGGAAGAAAAATCAAAGACAAGAAATGCAGAAGAGAATGTAAACGAAATAAGGAGAAAAATAGTACACAGAAAGAGCGATGATAAGAACGAAGCAAGGATAAAGAAACTAGAAGAAAGGAGAAACTGCGTAAAAGGACATATAGAGAATGAAAGAAAGAGAAATGATATAGATAGACACACACAGAATAAAGGAGAAAAAGTACAGAAATAGTAGAAAAGCTAGTTAATAGTGGAAATGTCAAGACAGGTCATGCCACTCCTCTTATGAAAGCTGAAGAAATAACAATATAGAGTTGAAGAAAATTGACTAAGAAGAAGAAAGTGTATAGAGAAACAGAAAGAAGAAAGAGCATAAAATTATCTCTACAGAATGAAGTAAGAAAGAGAGAAACAATGCAAAAGGTGATGCAGAAGAGGAAGAAGAAACAGTAGATAAGACGTATAGAGGACGAAAAAAAACGAATTAAGAAGGAGACAAAGTGTAGAGATGTTGAGAATGAAGGAAGGAAGAAAGAAAGAAAAAACAATGGGAGGAGATATTATATAAAATAACCGACTGAGAATCAAGGTAAAAGAAATAACGTAGATAAGAGATAGAGAGGACGAATTAAACGAAATAAAGAAGGAGAGAAACAGTAGAAAAAGGAACTATAGAAGATCTGAATAACAATGTGAATGTAGAAGAAGAAACAACATAAATAACAGATAAAGAGAATGATTTAAACGAAAATTATAAGAAAGAAGGAGAGAAACGTAGACAGGGAACTATAGAGGAGAGACAGAAAGGACGATTGAAACGAAATAAAGGAGAGAAATAGTAGAAAAGGAAACAGAGAGGAGAGATAGAAAGAACGAATTTAATTAAATAAAGAAGGAGGAAAAACAGTAAAAGATATAAAAGGAATTATAGAGGAGAGATGGAGAGGACGAATTAAACGAAATAAAGAAGGAGAGAAACGTAGAAAAGGAACTATGGAAGAGAAACAGAGAGGAAGAATTAAACGAAATAAAGAAGGAGAGAAACGAATCAAAAGAACTATGGAGGAGAGATAGAGAGGACGAATTAAACGAAATAAAGAAGGATGAAAAACAGTAGAAAATAAAAATGGAATTATAGAGGAGAGATAGAGAGGACGAATTAAGCGAAAATTTTACGAAAGAAAGAGAAGAGAAGCGTAGAAAATGAACTATAGAAGATCTAGATAACAGCGTGAATATCAAAAGAGGTAGAAGCAACAACGTAAGTAAGAGATAGAGAGGACGAATTAAACCAAATAAAGGAGACGAACAAGAGAAAAGGAACTATAGAGGAGAGATAGAGAGGACGAATTAAACGAAATAAAGAAGGAGAGAAACAGTAGAAAAGGAACTATACAATAACTGGAGAACAGCGTGAATGCCAAAAGATGTAGAAGCAACAACGTGAATAAGAGATAGAGAGGACGAATTAAACCAAATAAAGAAGGAGACGAACAGTAGAAAAGGAACTATACAATAACTGGAGAACAGCGTGAATGTCAGGAGAGGTAGAAGCAACAACGTAAATAAGAGATAGAGAGGACGAATTAACCCAAATAAAGGAGACGAACTGTAGAAAAGGAACTATAGAGGAACTATAGAGAGAGATAGAGAGACGAATTAAACCAATAAAGAAGGAGACGAACGTAGAAGGAACTATAAGGAGATAGAGAGGACGAATTAAACCAAATAAAGAAGGAGACGAACAGTAGAAAAGGAACTATAGAGGAGAGATAGAGAGGACGAATTAAACCAAATAAAGAAGGAGACGAACAGTAGAAAAGGAACTATAGAGGAGAGATAGAGAGGACGAATTAAGGCAAATAAAGGAGACGAACAGTAGAAAAGGAACTATAGAGGAGAGATAGAGAGGACGAATTAAACCAAATAAAGAAGGAGACGACCAGTAGAAAAGGAACTATACAATAACTGGAGAACAGCGTGAATGTCAAGAAAGGTAGAAGCAACAAGGTAAATAGGACATAGTGAGGACGAATTAAACCAAATAAAGGAGACGAACAAGAGAAAGGGAACTATAGAGGAGAGAATTAAACGAAAACCTTGCGAAAGAAGAGAGAAACAGTAGAAAAGGAACTATACAATAACTGGAGAACAGCGTGAATGTCAGGAGAGGTTCCCGTCTCCTCTTGTGAAGGTTGTGTGTGAAATATGTAACTTGTCCGGGATCAATAGCTTTGCAGACTTATAGGTCAGTCCGGAACCGTCTTCCATTTTTTTTTCTTTCTTTCTTTCGTTTCGTGTGTTTTCGGGTGTTTTCTTTTTTCGTCGGTCGCTCTCTTTCTTTGGTGTCCTGGTTTTTATTTTCGTTTTCTTTTTCTTTTTTCGAGTTTTATGCTCTTTTTTGTCGGTTTTTTTCTGTCTTTGTCTTTCTCTTTCTCGATCTCTTCTCTTTTTTCTCGGTTCTTCTCATCTTTTCTCTATTTCTCGCTCTCCTTTTCTTCGTCTCTCTCTTTCTTTCTCTCTCTCTCTCTCTCTCTCTCTCTCTCTCTCTCTCTCTCTCTCTCTCTCTCTCTCTCTCTCTCTCTCTCTCTCTCTCTCTCTCTCTCTCTCTCTCTCTCTCTCTCTCTCTTTCTCTGTCTCTCTCTCTCTGTCTCTCTCTCTCTCTCTTCTTTTTCTTCTTCTTCTTGGGGATTTTTTCCTCGATATTTTCTTGTTGGGATTTTTTTCTTTGTTTGTGTATTTCTTTATCCTTCTCCTCTTGATCTCTTTCTCTTTCTAAAATATTTTCTTGTATTTTTCTCTTTTCCTTGATTATTCTCTTTCGTATTTCTCTGTTTCTGATTATTTTCTTGTATTTCATCTTTTTCTTAATTATTTTCTTGCTCGTGTTTCCTCTTTCTTGATTTCGATTTTTTTAATTTGTCGTTATTTTCCTTTCTTCGTATGTTCTCGTTTTTTTATATTTCCTTTTTCTTGAATGTTTTCCTATTTCTTCTCTTTCTGTCATTTTCTTCGTTTTTTTTTCTTTTATCCATTTTTATTTTCTTTTCTCTCTCTTTCTTCGTCTTTCTATATTTTCTCTCTTCCTCTTCATATTTTTTCTCTCTCTTTTCTATTTTCATTTCTTGCTTAATCTTTTCTTTTCTATCTTTCCATTCCATTATCACCCCCTTCCTCTCTTCCCACCTTTATTCTTCCCCCCTTTTTATCCCCCATTTTCGCCTGATATAAAATGAAATGAGAAAAAATCCACTAATTATTATTCGATTTACTCGACGTTAAGAACATTTCTCTCACCATTCTCTCTCTCTCTCTCTCTCTCTCTCTCTCTCTCTCTCTCTCTCTCTCTCTCTCTCTCTCTCTCTCTCTCTCTCTCTCTCTCTCTCTCTCTCTCTCTCTCTCTCTCTCTCTCTCTCTCTCTCTCTCATCTCTCTCTCTCTCTCTCCTCTCTCTCTCTCTCTCTCTCTCT